TCATGTTGATGGCTGGTGAAGTTGCAATGAGTGGAGGAGAAGTTGCAATGAGTGGAGGTGAAGTTATGTTGACTGGAAGTTGTGGATATAGTTTACATCATGTTGATTGTTACAGATGTTGCATTTATGTGAGATATTTGTAACTGATGGTCAAATTATGTTTAATCAGTTTGTTGTAGGTAATTTTTCCTCTCAAAAATATCACTGTCAATGTTGGTGCAGTTGCCTTAAATTGATTTGAGCTAAAGCTTTCCAGTCGCGACATTGTACTTATACGTAGTGATGTTACATTTTCTTGTGGTGAGTTTGTGCTGATCAAATGTGAGATACTTAAATTGATTCTTAGTAAAGTTGCACGAAAAAGTGCCAAAGTGGTGGTGCTGAGTGTTGGTGAGGTTGTGGTAATGCTATTTCTGCAAACAACAAAGTTGTGTTGTGTATTGGTGAGGTCTGTATTCCTGCTGGTGAAACTGCACTGATGTGGAGAAGTTGCATCTAGTGGTAGCTTATTTGTTGTGGTGAGCTCATTCCACTGATGGGTTGTGTTTTAGTTTATTATTTGATTAATATATTAAATACAAACTTGATGTTTTACACGAAAAAGTAAAAATTACAAACATTTTAAGTGCTTCTGTCATGAAAATACCTGTTAAAGGAGTTGAATTCCCTGTTGTTGGAACTGTAGTTGTAGTTGGTGCTTGAGTTGGTGGTATGACAACTAAAAAAATAAAAAAAATATTAAATTAGTGGTTCTGTTAGTATTCAGATTTATATTGATTATGTTGGTTTTGTAATTGACACAAAGCTTTACCTTCTGCAGAAATAGTGGATGTGTTGACACTGAGGGTGAAATTCGAGTCGTAGGCAGTAGCATTGACCAATGTTGCCGACACATCGCTGGCATTTGGGGCTGCTGTGTTATTATTATCAGTATTGAATATCAGCTCAGCATCTACCTCAATGGATCCTTGTCTGCAACAGAAAGTTTAGACTTTTCATTTATCTATTTGAATATATTTTATATATTTTTTTTATTTTTTTTATTAATGTAGTTGTAGCTACTGTTCCTAAACTAAAATTTCACAACAGGTTGAAGTTGCTAAGTAACAAGAAAAAACAACAACATTTAAGCAGTATTCACACAACATAAATACACTGTATGATTAACAATATTGTGGCAGACAAATTAAGGAAAGAATAGCATTTTTCTTCATGGATGCAAATGATCAAAGAATACTTTGCACATATAATGTAATCAGCTGTATAAAAATTAAAAAAACGACATTATTCATACCTGAATTCTTTGATTTCAGTTCTATTAAAATGCTCCCCATACTTGGTTCTGTAGACGTTGTTGAGCTGTAAGGAGTTTCACAAAAAGAAAAATTTACGTTAATAGAATTTTGCTTAAATCAATGTTCTTATGCCTCTACTGATGCTTCTACCCTCTTCAATCATAGCAGTGTTTTTGTTTCTACAATAAATTGCTCTTTTTCATTAACTATAGGTCATAATTTCATTCATCTTTAACACATTAGCATCTCCTTGTCAAGATCCTATATCAAATAACATTTTTTAAATTTTATGTAAATGCAGTACTAATGTTTTTTTTTAGCATTGTAACCAGATTTACATCCAATGAAACCCCCCCCTTGAAACCTTTTGAATGTATCTGTTATAGCAGCTTTCAGTTTTATATATAAACTTCTAAGGACTTTAATTGCAAACAAATAGAAAAGAAAAAAACAAAGAAAATAAAAGAGAATAAAAAAATCGAACTTACTTGTGTGGTCATTGTTTTCTCCAAATCCTTGTACTCTGGTGTAGATTTGTTTGCAAAAGCTGGTTTAAATTCTTCCTGCACTTTAAATCCTAGCTTGATTTTAGGCTCTGGTGGAGGTGCAGGTGTTGTAGTAGTAGTTGGAGGTGTAGTTGGAGGTGTAGTTGTCGTTGTAGTTGTAGAAGCGATTGTTGGTGGTGCTGATGGTAAAGTTATAAAAGGAGAGCTTGCACTACCTAAAAATAAAAATGTTAAGTTAATTCGTGAAGTTCATTTAATGTTATTCAGTAATATACATGGATTTTAGGTAAGCTTTCTAAAGTATAGAGTTGAAAAAGTATCTAGGTTTATCATTTTAATCTGAGAATGGCAGTTTCCTGACAAATTGTAAATGTTGTTAGTATGAAACAAAAATGTGTTAGTACATGCTGTATTGACAATAACAGAAGTTGCATTACCAGGCACGGGGGTGAGTGATTGTGGAGAAGTTACGTTGGCTGGTTGTGTGGGAATAGTGGAAGGTGGTGAAGCTACGTTAGTGACTGGCGGTAAGCCTGTGTTGACCGATGACACTGGTGGCATGGTTGCATTGCCTGAAAAAAACAAAACATACATTTTACAAATTAACAGAAAATCAACAGTCAGTGGGCAGCACGGTGGCACAACTGGTAGAGCTGCTGCCTCTCAGCAGAAAAACTAATACCTGTATTTATTACAGGTGGTGTTGGTGTGCTGCCATTGACAGATGGTGGAAGGGAGTTAACCGGCAGAGGAGTCACAGTAACATGTGGTGAGGTTAAGTTGTTGACCTGTGTTTGCAATGTCCCGCCAATTGCTGGAATGATGAGATGAAAATTCATTCATAAGCCTTCAAGTTATTTTGAGTGGTGGTAAAGTTGATGCATTGTTGGAAACAACATCTAAATACAATTTTCTATACGTATAAGGGTGCAAAAAGTTGAGTTAAAATGACAAAGGTAAAACCCATTGCAAAATTTCTGTGACAATACTACAGAAAGAAATACATGTACATGTTGACTGTTTCAAAAAAATTAAAACCTGTAGTTGTTGCAGGTGATGATGGCGTGCTGCCATTGACAGATGGTGGAAGGGAGTTAACGGGCAAGGGAGTCATGGTAACATGTGGTGAGGTCAAGTTGACCATTGGTGTTTGCAATGTCCCACCAACTGCTGGAATGATAAGATAAGAATTCATTCATACGCCCTGAAGTTATTTTGAGTGGTGGTAAAGTTGATACTGTTTTGAAGACAGCATCTATATAACAGTTTTATATACTTATGAGTGCACAAGACTGAGTTAAAATAACAAAGATAAAATACAGAGCAGAATTTCTGTGACAATACTACAGAAAGAAATACAGAAACATTTTGACTGTGGTAAAAAAGTTAAAACCTGTAGTGTTTGCAGGTGGTGTTGGTGTGTTGC